GCATTTAAAATTTTTGAAAAAAAAAAGTGGCAATTTCTACAAGAAAGAATAGGGACCCTGGCATGTTATAATTCTTTAAGTCTCAAGAGTTTTGACCATTATATTTGTTTTTTTTTTCTAGTAAGTTACATTTTCTAACTTATCATTTTTTCACAGTTGATTGGTGGTTAGCATATGATGATGAAAATCGAGAGTTGACTAGGCTTGCTGTGAAAGTGTTGAGTCTCACATGTAGTTCATCTGGTTGTGAACAAAATTGGAACTCTTTTCACCAAGTAACTGGTGGTTAGTATATGTGAGACTCATGCTATGTTAAAGATTGATTCTATATTAATGAATTTATAAATTTTAATTTATGATTTTGTGGCTTGTAAAAGAATAGATCCACACTAAAAGAAGGAACCGCCTACAACAAAAGAGACTCATTAGTATATATTTTGTACAATCTCAAGTTGAGACGAAGAGAAGCAAGAGAAAAACTATAGAAGATCCACTTTGTTTAGATGACATAGAATCTGATAATGAGTGGATAACTGAAAATGATGCATCAAATGCTCAAGAGCAACTTCATACTTTTGAATCACTACTTCATGATGTTGGGATTGATCAAGATTTTATTGATGAGGTGATGGACTTATTGGTTATATAAGACACAACTTCTGGTTTATGGATTTTGGATGTTTGTATCCTCTTCTCTATTATTTTATCTTGGTTTTCATATATTACTTTTATCATCTATAAGCTGTAACAATTTTTCTTTTTATTCTTTGAGGCTTATGCCTCACTATGCCTTGAGGCTTAGACATCACCTTTTGGGGCCATAGCGCCTCAACTACGCCTTTAGTCTTTTAAAATCTTGCCCATGAATACAACTCAAGCTACAAGAACCATCTCTTAGTCCAACCAGTGACCACCTAAGACTCATCATAAACCTCCACGCTCTATAAACCAATGAATACATCTTTAAAAGCAATGCCATAGTCTGAGCTCTGACAGGATCACAAATACTAACCAGAGTAAATGCACAAGTTGAAAATAAACCAAACGTTAAGTCTAGCAGTGTTACAAGGTTTAAGGCTGCATAAACTACTCAAGGGATGTTTGGTTGGAGGAATCAATTTGTTAATTCCAATTTTTAGATTTTCTACATCAGCTGGTTCCCCAAATCACGTGAAAAGTCCTCTTTGGTAAGACTGATTCCTTAAAAATCAGTGGAGTTGGTTAGTCCAGTTTTTGGTGCTTTGAATTGATTCCTAACAGGGAACTGAYATGTCCATGCCAATAAYTTACAAACCAATAATGCTGTGACAGTTCCATATTTTTTTGAGAAACTGTTTCATCAGCATTATTTCTACCAAATATATTTTCATGAAGAAATCAGTATTCTGCAAACCCCAAAAAATCAGAGATTCTTGAGGAAATGTATTGATAAATCAATTCTTCCAACCAAACACCCACTTGATTCCAGAAATCTGATTATGGAAGGGGACTCCAAATTTGTAATAAGCAGGCTAAGGGACAAGAGAAAAGCTTCTTGGCTTTACAGACTCGTCATGTGAGAGATCATGCATCTATCTGCAGAACTGGGTGTTTAAGTTCAATTGGGTGCAAAGAACAGCAATCTGTTAACAATAAAGTTCAATGGGCTGACTCAATGACAAAATCATTGGGGGAATAGGACACCCTTTATTTTGATAGAWAGGTGAATAGGGCACCATTGTTTTGGGAAAACATGCCACAGTGATGTACACAAAGTAAACTTTTCAGAGTTGGACAGCTTAGTCTAGTCCAAAATAATATCTGAACATGCTATTCTTTTATTCTTGCCAATAAAACCTCAACCGTATTTGGTGGGATGCCCTCATCAGCATGAGTCAGCAATTGGCACTCTGTTGATTAGCCACAAAATTAACAGGGATCTATCAATGGGGATAAAAGGGAGGTGTCATCTGGCGATACCAGAGAGGTGGCTGATAATTTGGTTGTTGCTGCCTGTGCAGTGATACTTCTGAGCAGACCTCGAAATTCCAGTACGATTTGGGCGGGAACAGTAAGGGATGTAATATATTTAGATCGCATGGAAAAAAATTGGAGACAGTGGATTCTCAAGACCAGTGTTCTAAAAGGCGTGGGAGGCATACACCAGGAGGCACGACTCCAAGTGAGGCACCCCAAACGCCCTGAGGCTCATATGCTTTTTTCAYGAGGCGTATGCCTCATGCACACCTCATGTAAAAGGACAGGAAAAAAAAAAGAAAAAAGAAAGAAAAAAAGGAAAGGAAGGAAAGGAAAGGAAAGGAAAAGAAAGGGAAGGGAAAGAAAAAGAAAAAAAGAGAAGAAAAAAAAAAGAGAAAAAGAAAGAAAAGATAAGGGTAAAGAAAATGGGTCGGAGGCTAAGCCCCCAGACCCCTTGGCCACCCCCAGCCCCCCTTTTAACTAGTGCTATGCATCTTCATTCTTCTTAATATAAAAGATTTTTATTAAAAATAAAGAAAAATGAGATTCTTCTGCATCTTCTTCCTCCTCATCCCCCCTCCTCTTAAGGAGGCGTATGTTCAGGAGGCTTACACCTCTTACGTTCTGAACTATGCCTCACACCTCAAGGTAGTGGAATGCCTAGCATCACGCATCCGCATTTTAAAACATTGCTCAAGACATTTGCAAGATTGATGGGTGGGATTGATGCACAAAACATTGGAGTCATTTCTTGAAGATTCAGCAAGAAAATATTGGTATTAGACTATTAGTAAAAGGATAGAGGGGAATAAGAGTAACTAGCTATTAGTACACAGTGTCGGTCAAACTGAAAAATATGGAGGATGGCTTCACCTGGGTGCTAACAAATGTTTAGGGGTGTTGTCATCTATTCCGCATTCATAAAAAGAAAAAAACAAAAACAAAAACAAATGTTTAGGGGTGGCAAATGGGTGGATTGGGTTGGGAYGGGTATGGGTTGACCAACCTACMCATAATGACCCTCTAACCCATTTGCCACCCATATTTATTGATGTTAGTGGGTGACAACCCTCCCTGACTCACCCATATTACCCACTAATCCAAATTGGACATTTTTTTATCAATATTTTTTTTCTCCATCTCAAATGCTTAAAAACACAGAAATACATATTTCAACTAAGAAAACATAAAACATGTTAAAAAAATATTTTTCAAATAAACAAAAAATGCATAAAAACACTGAAAATGATAAATATATTTCATGTAAAACATCAGAAATTACAGAAAAAATAAA